CCGGAATGGAGTTAACCGGGGTTCCACCTCTGCTGGCATCAGTAGAGTGATACTGTGCCATGGCAGTTGCCACTGCTGCAGCTACGGCAGCATTTAGGGCTGCTGTATCAATGACCGGAGGTGGTGGAGGTGTAGGGTTATTCCGGGTAGATTTGCGAGGAGGCATCTTTCAACTATAAGTTTATAAAGATGAGAAAAGTGGTAAGAATCAATTTGTAAGTAATGTGCGAATGACACATGGACTAACTAACCATAGCCCAACAATTGAATGAGTGTTTGTGTTCATAACCAGAAAGATGTGTAGGAAAACCCAAATGTAAAGATTCATCCCACAGAGTAGGTAGTTGTCAATAATACTGGTATTACTGATGTAACGAGTTCAATGAAAATTGACCTAACAGTAGGTCTTACATCATACCATACAGAAAGTTTGACAGTTCTTAGATTCCTAATTAGAGTACTGAAAGTTAGGAATATTTTACAGATAAGTGCTACTTAGAGCACAGATGTTAAAAGGCTAATCCTTAACCCAAAAGATAATGATGTACTAGACATCATCTAACGGCGATGAGTATTCCTCGGGAGAACCCTGAGGTCTCTCATTTGACGTACCACCTCTTGAAGGTGTCGTTCATGAGCCCTTTGACGAGCTCGAAGTTCCATGACTTCAGCTTGAGAGGCAACCAGACGTTGCTGCAGAGTTTCATTGGTTCTCCGGGTCCGTTCCATATCTTCTTCGAGACGGCGAATGCGGACTGTGTTGACACCAGAGTTGGCATCAATCTCCACGACCGGTCGATGGCTGCTCGACCTTGCTCGACATTACGAGCTATTCTACGGATAAGGACAGGTAGAGCTCGGTCAGCAGAGCCGCCATCGCTGACGTTGTAAAAGGTTCGGTCCCCAAAGTATGGTAAGGGTTGACCCTGTTCGTCACTCCAGCGATTCAAGTTATCTACCCACAAGGGAGTGGGACCTAGAAAAGCTGGTCGAGGGTTGTTGTTCGGGGCTTGACCTACTGGAGGTAGGTTGTTGACTTCAGGCTCAGAGTCTGATCCATCTGAGAAGCCTTCAGCTTGATGATCATCCAACGGGATTGGGTGTTCATCGTCAGACTCTGCTTCGAGCCATCCTGCGTTGCCTTCATTTGGAAAGTACGGGTCGCCGTGATGGAATCCAGCCATTTAAATCTACGCGAGAAGAGAGGTATAAAGATATAGTATACAAGTAGTTGGTAGTACAAAATACACCTATAGTATTTTAAGTTTAGGTTCTATTGAATCTTCTTGTGGTATTGTTGGTAAATTTTTAGACTTGTTAACACATCACAACCATTCTAGGGCATATGCTAATCACTCCTCGGACCATCATAGTTGATCAGGCTATGCCATTCCCAGGACTGACCATATATCCCCGAGCTTACCTGTGATATTTAACAATCGTAATACTTTTGTTCTTGTCGTTGTGACACTGGTTTTAGTATGAATGTAGACTAGTATACTTAATTAAATATTTTAGTATTTTAAGTATAGACTCTTGGTCAGAGTGTTTTAATCCCAAATGGGTTTATAGTTTAGTATATCTTTTATGGGTTGATACACTTGATTCACTATAAACAATGCTCTGATACCAATTTGTCACACCCCAAAACCAAGAACGGCGGAAACGTTCTGGGGCGGAGGACGTCATGTAAGTATCACAACACAGTAAATGTAAATAAGCAAACAACATCATCCATTGCATTAAATATATAATTTTAATACAAGCGTGTTCTGTACATTATAGACACCAAAAATAACGTATATCAAAATAATAAGATGAGTCTTGAATGCGCTCCATCTTCTCAAAAGCTGGCCTCGGTACCTGTCTACTGATGACCTGAGAATACAAGTTATTTTGAAAGAGTTTATCAGCATTAAGCTGGTGAGTTCATAAGTATTTTAGTGTCGGTATTTGTCATCCAAAAATGTTTGAACATGTATAAAGTATAAGTTTGTAAAATGTATGTAAAGATTTGCAATTGTTTGTAAAAGTTTGAATCTCTCAGAAAAACCTATATTTTCTATTAAAGTAGCCTTCTACCAAGGCTTAACTATTTTGTATGCTCGTTTGATGTAAAAGTGTGTAATTTCCCAAATGTAACTATCATTTAACAAAATATAGTTTGTACATAAACGTTTAAGTGAGGTTATCACTAAAAATATGTAATGGGTAAATTATTGTAGTACTGTAGCCTTGTATTATAAGAACTACTGTTGTACTAACTACCTTAAACCGGATTTATATTAAGGCATTACGTGATAAATTGCACCATACTATCGACTAGTAACAACGACAAATGAATGGTCGTAATAACGGAATGACGTTTGGCACCCGCAGACCTGCAGGTCCGGCTGTAGCTAGCAGCAAGGTGTAGGATTGTCAATCCAGTATAGATCTATACGCAAACTCACGCTCTACCTTCAAGAGAATTCTGGCTACAACTCGAGCCATGACAGTTAAGTCATGCTCCGATTTAAATCAAAATAATAAAGTATTCATGTATATGTACTGTTTCTCATTCTAGTATAGTTGTATATGTATTGTTTCTAGCATCATTGTATATGTATTGTTTCTTGTTCTAGTATAGTTGTATATGTATTGTTTCTAGCATCATTGTATATGTATTGTTTCTAGCATCATTGTATATGTATTGTTTCTAGTATATGTATATGTATTGTTTCTAGCATCATTGTATATGTATTGTTTCTAGTATATGTATATGTATTGTTTCTAGCATCATTGTATATGTATTGTTTCTAGTATATGTATATGTATATGTATTGTTTCTAGCATCATTGTATATGTATTGTATTGTGTTACCCCGATGGTAACTAACTATTGATGTACTAATAAATATGAATATGGAAGTACTTTTATGTCTATACATGTATATATGATATATAACTAATGTTGAGACGACCTTCGGATGGTCACCCGAAATCCCACCAGACCACATCTCAGTGCGCGAAAAGGAAATAGGGCGGATGGCCTTCCTAAGCCCTTTAAACATTACTTATATATATATACATATATGGGCATGCAATTTATAAGAAATAAAACAAAGTTTAATAAAAGCATTTGATAAGTAAAAAGAGTTTGTAAAACATTTGAAGTGAAATAGTTTGATAAACAGTTGAACAGTGATAAAATCATTGGTTTTCTAGTTATTAATCACATGTGATTAATGCAATCACATGTGATTGATGTAATAACTATAAGTATTTGACTTGTATCCCCCCATAAAGTATTTAAAACATTTAAAAGTATTTCAAAGGTTGATTAAAGGGGTATAAACTCACTTGTGGTGAGTAGATTGAATTGATGTATCGGGTACCGTGCTAAGTGTCAAACGGAGACTTGTTCACACGTTCGAGCCTAGTTATCATATAATAAGCATATATATAACTAATTAGCCACATAATAACTTAACAAAGTAAGTTAACACAATTAGGAACATGTATACACTTTGTATAAGTGTTATAGGTCCTAATGGTTGCATCTAAGTTGATACGGGACAAGGCAAAAGGGTTTGAAACATCAAATGGCCTTGCATAAGAGTTCACCACCCAAAAAACCCCACCCTTTGGAGTTTACGGCCGTAAACTCATGGGTTTATGGCCGTGAACTCCTCACATGGTGGTTTTGGGTGTTTTAAAGTGTTATCTTGATCCAAGAACACTTCTAGCTTTGTTGGAATAATACATGAACTAGTTTAAGGCCCTAGAATGTTCCATAGGGGAGTTTACGGCCTATAGTCCATATACCCTAGAGTTTACGGCCGTAAACTCCTATGGGTGATGGATTTTAATTCATTTGAGGCACTTGCACATCAAGGATGGCTTCCATGATTTTATCTAAGGCTAATAGGGACAAGATGCACACATTTAGGTCATCACTTGGAGTTTACGGCCCAAGATATGTTCCTTGGCCGTAAACTCCTTTTAAGGAGTGATTATGAAGTCCTTTGATCCCCATCCAAGTCCCATGTGTTCAAGGCAAATTGTCTTAAGGCCTTAGGGGTGTTTGTGGTGCATTTTACACAAGAAAAAGGGGTTTACGGCCGAAGATCCTTCCTTGGCCGTAAACTCCTATAATTATATCATTTTGAAGTGTTTTGAAGTCCAAAGTAAGCACAAGTATTAGTGGTTAAAGTCCTTAGGCTCAAGGAGGCAAGTTAGGGCATTTATGTCCCTTAAAAAGGGGTTTACGGCCCAAGAAGTTCCTTGGCCGTAAACTCCTCTAACTTGTGTTTCTTGGTTGCTTTTTAGTCTCAAATGTCCATACCTTAACCCCTAAACAAGTTGTCTAACACGGAATCGGGACTAGGAAGTCTTTAGGATCCGTTTTGGAGTTTACTCCCCAAGAACGTTCTTGGGCGGTAAACTCTCGGATCTTGCAGTTTAGACATATAAATGATGTTATAAAGCATATAACAAGTATTAAAACACGTTTAGGAAAGTAGACTCACAATCCGGGATGAAAACCTGAAGATCCGTCAGAGAGAATTGGCTTTTCTCTAGTTGGAATTGTAAATAATGAATTAATTAAATTCAGAAATCTATTTATAGTCCTGGAATATTTTGACAGAAAATATTTTTATTCCATAAGTCGGACTATAACATTATGAAACTTAAAATGTTCAAGTTTCACAATTACAGGAGCATCCACTCTCCTGATACGTCCAGAAACGTAAACCCTAATGTACACAAACTTGTTCGGACAAGTCTGAAATTTACAGAAACTGGACTAGCTTCTATTGAATAGATAATGTTCGTACAAATGGAAATTTCGGGTTGTCACAAAAATGATTTCCAATCCATTTATATGTTACAATGCAACCAAGTTTGAAGCCTCTTGAAAAATTATGGTCATCAACTAAGGACTTAATCTGGAAAGTCCTTTCACTACTCATCCAAGAAGCCCATAGTCTAATAGGAAAATACGGGTTCTTGTTATCTTTACAACATCTTACTAATAACCTCTGGGTATCATTTTTCTCATAATAAAGGTTGTAGCAATTCTTAACTGCATAGTTAGTCACACAAATTTTCAATTCCAGAGAGTTAGAGAATCTCATACCTGGAACTAGCACCATTTTGTCCTGTTTATGGTTCTCATTATGGACAGGGTATACAGGTTTTTCATCCCCATTATTGGTTTCAACCTCATCATTTGTATCCTTACAAATACCGAACACCCAATGTAAGAATTCATCACCAATACTCTTGTCAAGAGAAGGAATGTAATCTTCTGCTTCATCCTCGTATAGAATGTCATCAGAAAGTTGTGAATCATTATCATCATCCGGGTCTTTCTCATAGTAATGCCCTTCATCATCTTCTACTACTTCCATATTAGCCCAATCAAGTACAGGTTCATTTTCGTGGTCTATATACACATTCATTCTTAGACCATTTTCATTACTATAAACCATTTCAATAAACTCAAATTAGTCAACATCATCCCCAATTCTCCTAATACCCTCTGCCAATGGTTCATTTCTAGTGTAGTAATATACATTATTGCAACTTCCTTCAATTAACTTTTCAACGAACAAAGTAAAATCTTTGAGATCCATTGCACCAAAAGCGACATCACAGATTGAAACAACAACAAAGTTTAAGTACACTAATGGTTTTGGTGCGAAGAAACCATTATAATATACATAAACTATCAAATAATTATGTTGTTTGGAATCGAAGACCATCTTTTTCACTATAACACTCGCATTCACCAGTTCTTTTCAATTTCGTAACCATAATCTTCGATTGAAATGTTGTATTCAATTTCCCTATGAACCCTAACTGTAAGGAGAAAGGGGTGAAAGAGAAACGATTATGAAATGTGTTTTAAGTCCACGGAATACGACATGTCATCCATAATTAAATGTTTTAAAATGCAGAAATCGGCAAAACAGGTGATAACCGGTCACGAGGGTTTTGGTGAGCATGAATGTTAAGTTCAATGGTATAATAAGGACGAAAAAGATAAGGAACCAAATGAGAACAAGTACAACACTTTGTTACCATCATAAGTCATTTTCCCTGTGTTTAAATAGAGAAGAAAGCCATGGTGATCTTAAAATAAATAAATAATTAGGAGTACTAAAGCTTTTGATGTGGCTAGGCTTTATTCATTAGGTACACCACATTTAATTTTTATACTTATTGGTGTAGGCAACACTCACTCACGTTTTTGTGACCTGGTGCCGGAAAACGTCATTACTACAACCCAAACATTTCCCCGACCTCCGTTTTTGCATGTTATGTTATTTCCTGTGGTGATGGTAATGAAAGGCAACGACCATTTTGAGAGTACCGGTCTTCTTTCTTTAGCCAATCATGACGTTGTGTTTATGGACAAACACCATTCCTATAATGGCGTTGAGGGAATCTTCTTTTCTTTTTTCTGATATGGCATCGTTACCGACGTTACCCATACCGAGCAACCTTATGGGTAAAATAATTAAAGTATATACGTCTACAAGTACACATGGAAGGAGTATATGTATATTTCATTTGACTATATTATGAAAATGAGTATTTACTTGGATATGCATTTAAAATGGAGAAACGACTAAATTAAAAGAGTTAATGTCATATTAATCCGTTGGAATTAGATATGATTTGTTATAATGAAATAAGAGAATAAGTCAATTAATTATTAGAAGTAATTAACTAATGATGTTAAATGAATCTTACAAATATAAAACATAAATAGTTTTAACCTAAATATTTATAATTAAATGTTCGGTATTTTAGGAGGATTTGACATATAAGGATCATGTTTTGGGTTGTGTCTTTTCCTGACACGATGGTATAACAATTTATTCGATAAGACGACTTGTTAATCAAGTGAGTTTTCTCATTATACTACGTAGGATGTTAGTTATTTTTGTAACTCTTGCATGAAAGAGCATGATCTGACCCCTGAAAAATATGTGAAAGACTAGGATCTGGCCACTGACAATTGTATGAAAGACCGAGATTTAGCCCATGATAATTGTAGGGAAGACCAATATTTTGCCCCCGAAAATTGTATGAAAGACAAGGATTTGGCCCCTGGAAATTATATGAAAGACCAGGATCTGACCCTATCACTTGCATGTAAGACCAAAATTTGGTCCTTGGCATTACCAAGGAAAGACCATGATTTGGCCCATAGCAGGAAGTGATTGTAAGACTATGATTTCACTCATAGCATTCACTTGGGTTGAAATAGACCTGTAACTTTATGTATGTATGATATGCGGTATGACCGGATTTGGCCCTTGGCATTGCAAGGAAAAACCATGATTTGACCCATGACAGGAAGTGATTGTAAGATTATGATTTGGCCTATAACATTCACTTGGGTTGAAATATACCTATGACTTTATGTATGTATGATATGTGGTATCTTGGAACACTCACTAAGCTTTGTGCTTATGGTTTTATGTTTAAATTGTTTTAGGTTTTCTTACATTAAAGGAATGGCACAACTTGATTGCATCACATCCATTGGAGATTTCCACACTTAATAACTCTTATGTCTATACTTTGATAAATGTTTTGAATAAAATGGTTTTATTTAGATTTTTAAAGTTGTAATTAGAACAAATGCTTTTAATTTTAAATGAACATTTTGGGTTGAATTTTGGGACCTTATAGTTAGGAGTCATGTTTGACATTTATATGTCCAAATGAGTTACTTTCGATACTATTTAAGTAAAAAAAAAACTGTAACACCATAATTTTCAAAGATAGATTAAACAATAAAATAATCATTCCAATATCTCCCAATACCAGTTTTAAACTTATCTATTGACTAAACTACAACGGAAGCAATAAAATTAAAATAAAGCCTTCAACCGAACAGTTTCAGGTGTTACGTCTTTATTAAACTGTTTTGTTGTCTTCTTGATTAGTCTTCCTCATTGTCGTTTCCACTGCCACTAGCTAAATAGTTTTCTAGATTGTGCATATTTAAAGTTTCTAAATGGGTAAGCCTAGAACCTACTCAGTTTGTGTTGCACATATATGTCTATCACTAAAAAAAACAAATAGTTTTATAATATATTTTCAGTAAACCATACATTGAAACATATCACCGAATGACACAATTTAGGAGAACGATTAATTATCCAGAGAAAGAACCAAATGCTCGTTTCCCTTCCCCTTGGCATAGCCCATCCATTGTGCTCAAGAATTTTAAATATAAAAGGAAATGGGTATAATTCTCAATTCCATCCCCGTTGATTACACAAATCCGTAATGCTTACGATAATTAAACATCATACGCATTCCCACTAAATATGTCATCTGAAGAAATCATTCAGTAGATAAATAAGTCAAAACATCATTTACGCAACCATACTTATCATAAAAAATATTGTCAATAAATAATAAAAAATCACATATAAACTATATGATAAACATTTATTTACGAACAACCACAAAACCGTTAGATGTTAACTGAATCTTCTCATGCTACTTACACCCTACATTTCACCAACAAGTTTTTCTAAAAACAATAATTCAAGAAAACATCTTATGAGTTCATGTTATTTCAACTATCCATGTGTCTTGCTCGACCGATCAATATTTTGTTAACTAATAAGTAAATTTCATTATATAAATTTCCCCATCGTGATAAGTTCATTATTTATGAATAATATAAATTTAACAATAATAAGTAAATGTATAAAATATGTTAATAACATGTTTGAGGGGTTATTAGAATATTTTCAAAAGTTTAAGCTATTTAAAATCTTTTAGAATTGAATTAAATGCTATATGGGTAGTGTTGAAAATTTTTGTAATAAAAGTAGCATGGTGTTACAAGAGCAGGGACCATATCTGTAATTTTTGTTTCAATACGAAAGTAACGCATTTAGTAAAGAAGAAAAATTAGAATTGTCAACTGATCAACAATGAAGGGACTGTTTGTGTAAATATCATTTTAATTCAAAAGAAAAAGGAACGTCACGTTAGAAAGAGAAAAAACACAGGAGTGACGCAAACATGGATCGAACCCGATCACCCGAATTGCTTTCTTCTTTACCGGAAAATAACACAATTTTCGGCCATTCTTTAATCCAATAAAACTTCGAAAATTACTTCAAATAGATAAATAAAATTTCCATTAATTATATCCACATTATACTCACTTGTTTTCACAATCAATTAACAAATACAAAGCCAAATTAAGGCCAAAATGTTCTTTCAAAATTCTCGATCAATTTATAGCATTATCAGCCCAACACTAGTTAGAACCAAAACACGTAATACGACCATATAAACCTATTCTAACAATTATAACGAGCTGAAACGAAGAATTATACCTTAATGTCGAACACAACCTCAAAAATACTTTACGAACCTCTTCCCTTGATTTCCCCCTCGTTTATTAATGTTTTCTTACGCCTTTTCACATGATTTCTCAAGCTCTTTATAATGTTCATGTTTGTAACTAATAAAACGATCTAAAGCACTCGGATTTACTCCTCCATTAAAGGTGACGGGTTTTAGATTTAAACCTTATTATTTTTTCCTAATTAAACCTAAATACACCTAAGTTTATTTCTAGAAACTGATATATTCAATTAATTATAATACATATCATTCATTTTTATATTAAGTTATCACAAACTTCCTCTTCAAAAAATTCTGTCATCAGAATTTGAATTAAACAAATAAATGATGGTACTTGGTCTTCATATCTTGTCCAGTTTCTCATATCGTATTCGATCCCTTATGATACTTTCTTTTTCATGAGTGGTATCTCCACATTCCCAACTTCGAAACTTGTCGAACTATAATTGCAATATGTTCTTCTATCTAACGAAGCTTCTCCTTAACTTTGCTTTCTTGAAGTGGCACTTTCCTGACTGCATGCATCGTAGGCATGGAACATGCTATAAATTCCTTATATTTCCCTTGGAGCTCTAATTGATAAGTCACTTATCCAACTAATTCCTTATCACAAACAAGTCCAACAATAGAGACTCATTTCACCTTTAACAAAATACACTACCTCTTTCTACGAGGACACCTTCAACATGACTTCGTCTCCCACCTGAAACATTATTGGCTTCCTACGTTTAACTACCAAACCTTTTGTCTATTCCTACGTATCCTTCAAGTTGACTTGAATTTACAATTTTTTTTTTAATGATGTTCATGATGAAGATAAGGAAAGGACACCAAAGAAGAACACTTAAACTAACATCCCCTTGTGCTCATCAATTTTCTGTCATATGTTTTGTACTAAAACTTGTATCAAATTTATATTAAAGTTCATTCTTTATTCACATATAAATAAACTGTAAATAATATACGTTTTATCCACATCTAAATAAACTATGAGTTCTAATATAAATATGATACACATTTACTCATATGTGAATAATACGCATGATGAAAGTGATATAAAAAAATAATATTTTTCATAAAGATATATTAATATGAATGTTTATGTATAATAAATAAAAATTTATTATTTTTTATATTTGTGGAAATTTGTTTCGATGAAAAGAGAAATCTAATATACATAAATATAGAATTCTAACAGTGTCATAAGTAGCTAGGTTTTCGATAAATCTGTGACTCTGGTGATGAAGAGAGCGACGTTATGAAAAGGAGCGATGAAGAAAAGGAGAAGGGGAACCAAAAGTCACGGCGACGGAGGGAGAAGGTATCTCTAAGAAGGTTGTTGCAAAGGTCGTTGTAGCATAGATGTAGAAGCCGTAGAAGAAGAGAGAAGAACCATTGAAGGAAAGGAACTTCAGTTTGGTGGTTGGTTGGCTTTTACCAGTGGAGATCGGCAACGGAAGGAGAATGCATCTTCGGTTACCGGTTATAAGAAATAAGTTCTTTTTTTTTAGGAGAAAGAGGAGAAGAGAATTAAGAATGAAAAATATTGGACATGGAAAAGAAAAAACATAAACAACAGCAAGAGAAGGCATCTTCGATGACGACTAAAGAATGTCGTTAGGGGTGGATGACAATAAAGGGTTGTGGTCAGTAGTATAGGGTTTTAAGCTAAAACTTTGATTCCATGTGAATATGATAATTTATTTGATTGCGAATGACAAATATAACGAACATTGGGTTAAATCATAGACATATTTAAACCCTAAACACAAACAAGAACCACAACCAAGACTAAATGTGGCGATTTACTCAAACTTAATACAACTTGAATTTGACATACTTAAACTTTAAACACTTTTTACATGATTATTGTTTATTAGTATCAATCTAGTTTGTTACCTTAAATCGTGAATCCAGCTTAAGTCAACTACTTCACATAATCGTTTTTTAAGTTCAAAACTTTTAAATTGATTCTTTACATTTCTGTAATGTGGGTAGATTCTTACCTAAGACAAAATTATATATAGTTGCGAATACTCATATCACCTCATAAATAAATTTTCCAAATTCATCATTTACTCAAAACTATTGCTTTTCTTTGTTGTCCCATGACACACTCTATGATTACGTAAATCAAGAATAAAGCCATGGTTACATTTCGAACATCAAGAGATACATATTCCTTTCTTTCGGTCCACTTTAAATGCTAAATATTTATTATTCCTCTTAGGCGTATATGTTAAAATAATTGTTTATTCTATATAGATTTACTTTAAGTTCGATTCATCTCCGTTTTTCAGATACATGTCCTAAATGGATTTATAACCGTGTAAACTACCCGATTATTAGGATTCAAAAATACATACAATTCATCTATAACAATGTAAACCCTACACTTTTTATTATTTATTTTTTTCAAACTTAATTTAAATATTTTAAATTATTAGTACATAAGCGATTGCTAATGCTCCCTTTTCTTTTGGAGTCCACATTATAGAGGAGCCGGACCATTTGAGTTTTCTTTCGATTTTTTTGCCCATTTATTTTCTTTTGGCTTCCCTCCCGTTGGGTTTCCGGTTTCAATTGTGTTTCAAGTACCACCACACATCTTCATCATCTTGTGTTTGGGATATGGGCGATAGTATGAGTGACACTTGTGGTTGGGATATATATATAGTGGCAGATCCAGAATCAATACTAACACGGGGCCAAAATATATAGGGACAAATATAACAAAAATTAATAAAAAAAAATATGAACTTTTTTTAGTGTTTCTTGGGTTTTTTGAGTGAGAATGGGTGCCAAAAAAACTAGTGGGTGCCAATTGTTCAATTACATAACAAAAGCTTGTTTTTTGCTAAAATTTTCAATGGAATCTAGTTTTAAGTGGGCCATACACCCCACTTGTTATACACTAAATCCGCTACTAGATATATAAGAGTGACAATATGTGTGACACTTAGGGTTGAGATATGGGTGACGGGTGGGGTTGGGATTCGAGAGAGGATATGGAAAGGATTTCGTGGTGGTAAGTAAAATAGTGTAATCCATGGTGTTAAACCTATTGGTGCCAGAAGGGGCGGGCGATTCCATATGTGAGTAATATGGTTGTGTTCAGTTTGGAAAATATCGAAGAGTGGTGTGTTTCATGAAGGATTCATTTGTAGAGAAATTTGAGAGAGTTTTGATGTTTTTTATGTAGATAGAATAGAGAGTTAGTGTGATTTTAAAATATAATTATAGTTTGAAGTTTGAAATTTAAAAAAAAAAAATAGCAAGCAACTAAAACACATGCAAAACAAATAGTGTACGTTTATATGAAAGATGAGTAAAAGGCAAACAACTTCACTCAACTAACTATCAACACCCAAAACTTCACTTATATATAAAGAAAGAGATATGACATTGTCCACGATCCTAGTTAAGGAGGTTCCTAGCTTCTTAAACACTTTGTTATTTCTTGTCATCCAAACTTCCGAAGCAAGCAAAATGACCCACTATTAATGCTAGCTAGTTGCATATACTTGATCCTAGCATGCTATGTTTGTTCTATTTACACTTTTCTAAATACTCTATTTTATGATCATATGTAATGGATTATATACACCTGGATGTCATGATGATATTATGGTGATGGATGTCGTGATATGTGGATTGATGATAAGAAAAAGTATTTGATGATGGCAGTTTTTCCGGATGTGGTGTCACAAATATTAGTACACTTAGTTTTTCTTTTTATTGATAATAACAATGGAATTTATAAAATACACTATCCATAATATCAACTAAATATATTTTTACTTACAATAACAACAACGTACTCACATTACTCAAGGTATCAAATGGTTTTTATTCTTTTACTAACAATAGTAATATGCTTTTATTATTATTCTAGCTATGTTTCGGATATGGGTCTTGAAAATAGCAATATATATATTTTTTAATGATAATAACAATATGTAATTGGAATTTATAAAATATACTTTATCCATAATATCAACGTCAATTTGCAGTTTCACTTATTATATCAACGTCGACGTACTTATCATACTCGATGTATCAAATTGTTTCTATTCATTTACTAACAATAGTAATATGTATCCTAAAATTTATAAGTGTATTATAAGTTTCAAGTTAAATACTGCTATCATTATTAAAAGGAAATAATAATTATGTTGTTATGATTAGTAAATCATTGTAGATTGTTATCATCAACGAAAATCAAAATACATTTATGGCATAAGATCTTTAATATAAGCAAGTGGATTATGTATCTTTTGGAACTTCATAAGATTGAAATAATTGAATCATTGTAAGATATTCATTAAACAAGACAACAAAAGATTAACATCATTTTAAGAATAATGACAAGAGTCTTTAATGACAAATAGTGTAAAGAGAAGTTACCAAATACCAACGGCTACAATTACAACATTGGTCAAATGACATGAGTATGCATAGTAGTAATAAGATCTTATTTTATTGTTTATAGTAAAATATAGTAAAATCTAAAACGATGACAATGGTCAAATTAGAGCCTTTCATACATTTATAACAAGAGAACAAAAACCACATGTACATTATGCATTGAGAGTTGTACATTATTACGAGAATGAGCTGTAGTTCGCTATTAATAATAATAATGCATCACAACAAGAAATCAAACCACTTCATCACCCCCACCTCCACCCCTTTTCTCTTATCTTCTCCATTTTGAGAAAGAAAACCAACAAAATCTGTGATCATCATAAAAATTTCATCTTTTTCTCGTTTCCCACTTCCATTAATTAAATTCATTCACCTCACAACCACATTCCGATGGCTCCTCCTCCTCCTTGTTCTTCTTCTCTCTCAATTCTCACTCTGATCACGATCCTCTGTTTCTGTATCTGTACATCTTCATCTTCTTCACAGAACACCCTCACACTTTCTCTAACACAACACATTTCACGAGAAAACAAAAACAATCCATGGCTGCAGACCATAAGCTCCCTGGCGTCGTCTTCAATAGCCAGAGCCCACCATCTCAAAAACCCGAAAGAAAAATCGTCAACATCGAAAATTCCTCTGTTTCCTCACAGCTATGGCGGATACTCTGTTTCTCTAAGCTTCGGGTCACCTCCTCAAAAGCTATCATTTGTAATGGATACCGGAAGCAGCCTTGTTTGGTTCCCGTGTACTCATCGGTATTCATGCTCCGATTGTAATTTCCCAAATGTTAACAAGACAAACATCCCCAGATTCATCCCGAAGCTCTCGTCCTCTGCTAAGATTATCGGGTGTAATAACACGAAATGCGGGTGGGTTTTCGGGTCGACTGATCCAATTCGATGTAATGGAGACCAGATATGTCCAGCTTACATGCTTCAATACGGGTCCGGGTCAACATCGGGGTTACTTCTGTCGGAGACAATGGATTTTGACGAGGGTGATGTGAGTGATTTCCTTGTCGGATGCTCCATTTTATCGACCCGACAACCGTCCGGTATTGCCGGGTTTGGGCGTGGGTCTTCTTCTCTACCCGTTCAAATGGGTCTGAAAAAGTTTTCATATTGTTTACTCTCTCACCGGTTTGACGACACTCCAGTGAGCAGCAAGCTTGTTCTTGTTCGGAATACTTCAAACTCCGGCGCCGGAGATTCAGGAATCAGCTACACAAAATTCCACAAGAATCCGATGAGTTCCACGGCGGCGTTTCAAGAATACTACTACGTAACCCTCCGGAAAATCACAGTCGGTGGTAAAACCGTGAAGATCCCATATGGGTTTCTGGTGCCGGGATCTGACGGAAACGGCGGAACCATCATCGATTCCGGCACAACCTTCACGTTCATGGATAGTCATGTATACGATCTGGTGGCGAAAGAGTTTGAAAATCAAATGTCGAAGTATAAGAGAGCGGCTGACGTGGAATCGGAATCTGGATTACGTCCGTGTTTCGACATTGCCGGAAAACCTGCAGAGTTCCCGGAGCTGATGTTTCATTTCAAAGGCGGAGCAAAGTTATCACTACCACTGGCGGATTACTTCTCGTTTCTTGGAGATTCCGGCGTGTTGTGTATGACGATTGTATCAAGTAATTTAGTCGGGTCGAATTCAAGAATCGGGCCATCGATAATCATTGGGAATTATCAACAGCAGAATATATACTTGGAATATGATTTGGAAAATGGAAGACTTGGTTTCAAGAAACAGATTTGCAAGTAAAGAATCTCAAGAAGAAAGAAAAAACTATAACAGAAATAACCATGGTTACTTTCAAGTATATTTTTTTATTTTATTTTATTTTATATAATCTCAACATATTATAGCCCTAAATTTAGAAAATATATTGAATTATTGACTTATTGTAATATTAAACTATCATTATAATAAATTTGGTAAATTCTTTGGTAACCAAATATGCTAAATTTGTTTGATGTAGTAGTTTAGTATATCATATTCAAATGATTGAGTAAATTGTTGTGTTAAAATGAGCATTGAGTTTGTATTTTTAATTTGTGTTGGCTTTTAATTATAGTATATATATTATATACACAAAAATCTTTCTTTAGGAAAAAAGATATATATATATATATATATATATATATATATATATATATATATATATATATATATATATATATATATATATATATATATATATATATAAAAGAAAAGTGAATATACCCTTAAGGGTATATAAGTTTAGGAACCCAAACTCATCATACTACATCGTTTTGTATCATATATACGCGTTATAATTATCCAATATTCTTATAAATCAATTTCTAACTTGAGTTAACTCCAAGATTTTTATAAAATTGAGTAAATTACACGAATGGTCCCTATGGTTTGGGGTAATTTGCGCGTTTGGTCCCTAACTAATTTTTTTAACTCGGAAAGTCCCTACTGATTGTTTTTATTACGTGTTTGGTCCCTATTGTTTGTTTTTATTACGCGTTTGGTCCCTATCATACCTAAAAAGACTATTATTTAAATAGGAAAAAATAATGGGGTACGTAAGGTAAGGTGAGAAGGGTGAGATTATGGGTGTGTTTATTTAAATAAATTAAAAAAATAAAAGGAAAATAGACTTTTTATGTAAGACAGGGACCAAGCGCGTAACAAAAACAAACAGTAGGGATCTCCCGAGTTAAAAAAATAAGTTAGGGACCAAACACGCAAATTACCCTAAACCATAGGGACCATTCGTGTAATTTCCTCTATAAAATTCATATTTATCTTCCTTTTACATAATTTTAACTTTCAAACTATAATGTATATAGCCTAATAGGTGTTCGGCAAAAAAATGTGATGTAAGAGAAAGATAATAGTGAAAATTTGAGAATATTGAAAGTAATCAAGTTAAGGATTGAAGTTTAACAAATTATAATGAATATATTAAACAAAACGATATATATATATATATATATATATATATATATATATATATATATATATATATATATATATATATATATGTTTAGGTTCATTTGAGACCATTCTAATTTTGTGAGACCGTGATATCAAATCTAAAAATAATTTTAAAATGCAAAATAAATGAAAAAATCCATAAATTCTTTTTTTAATATTAGTTTCGGAACTTGAATTAACTAAAAAAAATAAATAAAAAATCCCATTTTTTTTAAAAAAAATACGTGAAATATTCTAATAGAATATTACACTGACATATTCTAAAGAATAATTTTAAAATGCAAAATAAATAGAAAAATCTGAATTTTTTTTTTTTAAAATATTATTTTCGGAACTTGAATTAGCTAAAAAAAATAAAAATAATAAAAAAAAATCCTATTTTTTTTGAAAAATACGTGAAATATTCTAATAGAATATTACACTGTACATATTCAAAAAAATAATTTTAAAATGCAAAATAAATGGAAAAATCTAAAAATTCTTTTTCTAAATATTATTTTCGGAACTTGAATTAACTAAAAAAAAATCCCGTTTTTTTTAAAAATACGTGAAATATTCTAATATAATATTAGACTGTATATTTTCTAAAAAATAATTTTAAAATGCAAAATAAATGGAAAAATCCAAAAATTCTTTTTTTTAAATATTATTTTCGGAACTTGAATTAACTAAAAAAAATTAAAAAAATTAAAAAAATAAAAAAATACGTCTCACAAAATATAGGTGGTTTCAAATGAACCTAACCCTATATATATATATATATATATATATATATATATATATATATATATATATATATATATATATATATATATAAATTTAGGATTTGCTGGCCGTACGGTAATGATGATTGATAAGGGTATTTTTTAATAAAATGAAAATATGGTTGAAAGTTAAAGAAGATATGATGAATGATCACATGCAGAGAGAGCTGCACACCAAAATCGACCTCTCACTTGCTAAATTAATTCTTGAGTGAATTACAGAAACGGTCCCTGTTGTTGGCATGATTTTGCATTTTTATTCCTGATTTTTGGACTTTGTCAAAAATTGTCCATATTATAGGTTAGGATTGCACATTTATCCATATCTCACTTACCATTTTGGTTGCTCCGTTAATGATCCCCATATACCCCTCACATGAGGGTACTTAAGTCATTTCATGCTCTCCAACATTTATGAATAATTTATCAGGAATTACCTAACCAAATATTAGGTGATGTGACATATTTCATGTCCACGTGGACTCTACGCGTGAGATAACGTAACATTTTACTTCATCTCACTAGTGATTTTTGAAAAATGTTTTTGGGTTTGATATCATCTTTGATAGTGCACCGGGTTCATTTCATCTCTTTCTCGGTTCATTTCATCGAATTTTGTTCAAGATCCTTTTAGGTTCATTCAATTACTTCAACGTGAGTGTCATCGAGGTCTTTATAGTTCAATCTGGTTGAAGATATTTCTTCAACTAAAATAACATACCCTTGACCACCAAATGAATAATACATATACTTTAAAATAGCATGCCACAAAACATTTGATTCAAGGTATCTCTGGGTTCATTTAGTAGAAACTGCTCCTCTCTCAGTGATCATTTGGTTCTAGGTTTGATTTCATCTACAAGATCATTTGGTTCTAGGTTTGATTTCATCTACAAGACTTATTGTAGATTTATTGCTGTTTTTTCAAGTGATTGACTCAATTTGGTTTTGCTTTCTTGGGACCAAAGTCCAAGAAATTATAATCTAATAAACATAATATATATGCTATTGTTGCTGCAAGTCATTAACTTAAATTCATACACCAAAGGTAATGTACTAGCTATTGCTATCAATTTTAGAATATGAGTAATGAGATTGATATTCAAGATAACACACATATATCCACTACAAGATAACTTATCAAAATTCAACCATTACTAATAATTCATATTAGAAAATTAAACAAAATACAAGATATAAACAATTGAAACTTAACAAAATATAGGAAATAAAAAAATTTAAACTTAACAGAAAGAACCCAAATTATATTTCGGATAAACCCAAATATCGTTGTCCTATTCTTGATGGAGCCTTAACAGCTCCAAATGGAACAATATTTCTTCATTTGGATGCTAGAAATAGACGAACTACATTGGTCCTAATTTCTGAAGAATATTCCCCACCACCACCCATTAGGGATGAGATTTAGAACCGAAAAACCGGATCGGAACCGGAATCGGACCGGAACCGGAACCGTTAGAACTAGAATATATGGAACTGGCTCCGGTTCCGGGTTAAAAAAATTGCTTTATCTGGGTTCCGGGTAATTCGGGTTTGGCTCCATTGGGTGTGGGTAAACCGGGTCTAAAAACCAGAACCGATGTTAGGAACCGGAACCACTTTTACAGCCGGAACCGGTTTTTGTGAAACATTTAAAAGATGCATATTTCATTTGTTTCAACTCCGATTGACATGCGGATTTTTCCAACGTGTAGTTTAGAGTTTGTACATAATTTTAGACTATAAATTTTCCATTTTTAGTTATATATTCATTGACTTACAATCCCCCAAATTCGAGATATTAAAGCTGAAAGTTATTAGTTTTTTAGTTTTTTTGTATTCTGTGAAAGTTTTAAAACATGCATATATATTTTTTTTGAAGTCGGATTGACATGTGGTTTTTTCCAACTTGTAGTTTAGAGTTTGTACATAAGTTTAGACTATAGTTTTGTCATTTTTGGTTTAATATTCAATGATTTACAGTCCCCCAAAGTTGGGATATCAAAACTGAAATTTTAAACTTTTTAGCTATATGTTTTTGTACTTTGTAGTCTATGAAAATATTAACACATACATATATCATTCGTTTAAAGTCAGATTGATATGCAGTTTTTTTTCCAGAGTGTAGTTTAGGGTTTGTACATGATTTTAGACTATATTTTTGTCAATTTTAGTTTTATATTTAATGAGTTACAGTCCTCCAAAATTGGGATATCAATATGAAAATTTTTAAAGTTCAAACCACTAAGTAGTAAGTAATTACCAAAAAATTCCAGTTTTTGCGGGTTTTCCGGTTCTAAACCCACTTTATCCAGTTCCAACCTGCCTACTTTGATGTTTCCGGGTTTTCTGGTTCTAGACCCACTTTACCCGGTACCGTACCCGTAATAGAACCGGAATCAGTTCCTATATACCGGTCCACTTTCCGGTTCTACAAAATCCCGTTAACCTGTTTCGGGTTTTCCTGGTCCAGGTCCATCCGGTTCGGGTTTGGGCCCACTTTTATCCTTACCACCCATCATGTAGTTCGCATCGATGATATATATGGTAGATAACTCGCTTAACGAAATCTTGGAGGAATTGACATGATTATGTCAAACGATACAAACTCTTGAGGTGACGCAAAACTAGACTTCATGATTATGGTTAGGTACTAGACAAGATAGTTATCATGGGAAAACGGAGATGAAGTACGCTTTATAGTCAGATTCTTTGAACCCTACTTGCTTACTCTATATCTCAAATCTATTGTTTAGAGACAAAGTGTAACACCCTGTTCCGAATCAATTCCTAATTCGAGTTTGTGGCCTGAAGATCGGTCATTATAAGGCTTAGGGCCTTTGGAAAGGCGATATGTAGACCTATTTGGGTGTGAGTAATGTAATTGAGGTGATCGGGGTGTTCAGTTCGTGTTTTGGAGCTTGGGGGTATTTCGATAAAGTATCAGTTTGGGCTTTTCTGAAAATTTGGATTTTTGTTTGGAAGGTCTTAAGGCCGATATGAGTTGATATAAGTTCTTTTCATGAC